CCAATCTCCCTGGGCCACTTATTATACTTAAAAGAAACAGGTAGGACCAGATGTTCCTGAAGCAGATGCTTAATACTTCCCCAATTCTTCCTTCTTCCAGCTGAAATAAATCCTGGAAACTCAGCTGGAAAAGAGGAAAGCTAAACAAAAAATTGGATCCTCCACCACTGCTCCTCCCAGTGAAAGCTTGCTAGTTATTTATATTGAGAATAAGTCTCTCATAACATTTACTTGGGGGCGGGAGTGGGATTCTACCAGTTCTGACTGGTTCAGGAAAACCAGTAGTCTGACTATCAGCTGAGAATAAACACCGATGATCAGTTGGACCCACCTGCCTGCCCACACGCTATACTGACTTACCGTGCTTTTTGGAGTATAAGATGCACCGGAATATAAGATGCACCAAGATTTTGAAGAGGCAAATTAAAAAAAAGGTTTTACACTCTGCAGATCTCCCAAAAATGGCCCATTTTTTTTAAAGCGCATGAATTGCCTTTAGGAGGCTCGTAGAGTGCCCCTGGGGGTGGGGTGGGGGTCCAAAAACGAGCAAAAATGGCCCATTTTCTGCTCATTTCTGCCCTCCCCAGCCCTGAGGAGCACTCTGGAAGTCCCCTAAAGGATATGCATGGCCATTTTGGTGAAGGGGGCAGGGTTTTGGGAGGCAAAAAATGCTGTATTCAGTGTATAAGACATACCCAGATTTTCAGCCTCTTTTTAAAGGGAAAAAGGTGCGTCTTATACTCTGAAAAATACAGTATGTATTCTCAGCTGATTCATGCGGCAGAGAAGATTGCTGCACCTCAGCTGTGGTACTCCCCAGTAGTAACGCAGAAGGAAAGTATTCTTAAAACTGTGCATGCAAGTGTGCGTGCAGAGCATGCAATCACAGAATCAGTTGTTAAATCGGCAGGATCCCACCACTGGGCAGGATGGCTTAGTGGTTAAAGACACAGAGCTTATCCGCTGGAAAGCTGACAGCCCAGGTTCAAGACCCAAGCGCCACGTGGTGGTGTGAGCTCCTGTTACTTGCTCCAGCTTCTGCTCACTTCGCAGTTCAAAAGCATGCAAATGTGAGTATATCAATAGGTACCACTTTGGTAGGAAGGTAACAGCATTCCGTGTGCTTTTGTGTATAGCCATGTAGTCCATATAACCATGGAAAGTGTTTTCGGACAACACTGGCACCCTCGGCTAAAAAACGGAGGTAAGCACCACACCATAGAGTTGAACATGATTGGCCAGGGAAAATCTCTACCTTTATCTAACATTTACTTTACAGTGGGAATCTTAAAAGTTAATGAACCCACCAGAGGCAACCAACTCGCATTATGGCTATGCTGATCCTGGACTTATGCTAACAAGAACAAACTACTGTATTTTTTGGAGTATAAGATGCACCTTTTTCCCTCCAAAAAGAGGCTGAAAATCTGGGTGCGTCTTATACACTGAATACAGCATTTTTTGCCTTCTGAAACCCTGCCCCCATCACCAAAATGGCCGTGCATAGCCTTTAGGAGGTTTTCAGAGTGCTCCTCGCGGCTGGGAAGGCCAGAAAAAGCGAAAAACAGGCCATTTTTTGCTCCCCCAGGAGCACTCTATAAGCCTCCTAAAGGCTATGCATGCCCTTTTTTTGACAAAAAACAGGCCCATTTTTGCAAAAAACAGGCTGTTTTTTGCTCATTTTTGGGACCCCCCCCCCTAAAAAAACCTTTGTTTTTAAATTTGCCTCTTCATAATCTTGGTGCGTCTTATACTTCGGTGTGTCTTATACTTCGGTGTGTCTTATATTCCAAAAAATACGGTAGATAAAAGTGTCAAACCTATTTTTTTCCCTTAATCTATCAATATGTGCATTAAACTAACAGCAAAACGAAAGGAAAATGCATATCTTACATTTTTTACTCTTCGATCAGTTTCTTCTTGTCTGCAAGAAATAAACACATACACAAATTTAACTTAGATGAATAGTTTAGCACAACTAATACAGAACAGTAATTGCAAAACAAACCTGTCCGCCATAGTCCACCATCACACAATTAATACTCAGCATCACATAATATTCAAAGAAAGTGTTATTTAAAGCAGAAAGTCCAGACGCTTGGAGAACTCCTTACATCCCTCCAAAAGCACAGTAAAAGGGAGAAGGATCATCTCTTCATTTGGGAATTTCAAAGTCCTCAAGTTCTTCAGAAGAATTTAAAATATAGAATCCCGCAAAACTCCCATCTATCAATTAAGTTGGAAGAAATACATTTTGCCCAATAGAGAATTTCACTAGAAAAATAAAAAGCAACTATTTTGTTGTATAAAAAAAATTGGACTCCCTTCAGAATAAATTTTCTCTAGAAGAAATCTTCTCAAGACTTCTTTACAATTCTGCAATTCTAGTGGCTGATTGAATAGCCAACACTCGTTACAACAAGTCTCAAATTACCAGTTTATAATTGTGTTTCTCTAAAACACAAGGGAAGGGGAAGGAGAGAAGGGAAAGGAGAGGAGGAAGGAAGGAAGGAGAGAAGAAAGAGAAGAAAGGGGGTAGGAAGGAGGGAGGGAAGGAGGGAGGGAAGCAAGGAGGGAAGGAAGGAGAGAAGGAGAAAAGAAAGGAGGAAAGGAAGGAGGGAAGGAAGGAAGGAGAGAAGAAAGGAGGGAAGGAAGGAGGGAAGGAAGGAAGGAGGGAATGTAGGAGAGAAGGAAGGGGGGAAAGAAGGAGGAAAGGAAGGGAGAAAGGAAGGAGAGAAGGAGAAAAGAAAGGAGGGAAGGAAGGAGGGAGGGAAGGAAGAGGAGTAGGAGAGAAGAAACGAGGGAAGGAAAGAGGGAGGGAGGGAAGAAGAAGTAGGACCGTTGTAAGATAAGATGGATCTTCAAGTATATTGTCAACAGTAGGGAAAAATTGTTATAAATACATATTATATATTAAAAAAAATTGTGTTTCTCTATATTGACAGAAAGTTTACTACTTTACATTCCTCCAATGCTAGGGGAAAAAATGGATCATTGGCACAGAATTCTTATTTAACATTCACTATTGTTTAGTGAATGTTAATGTAGAAAATGAACTTGTGAATGAAGGTGAACATGTGTGTCCCAGGATAATGTAAATTTGGGTTGGTCATCGGGCCCAGAGGTTTAGTTTTCCAAGCTTTTGGATTAGTGTTGGAGCCCATCTTCAGGGAACTTCTCTCTCACCAGCATGAGTCCGAAAGCATGGAAAATTGGTCTGGTCCTAGTGACTGACCCACATTGCATCCAGCAAAACTGAACTTGCAGCCATGACCAGGAATTGAGGAATGATGATAATAGCAATCCAATTTCCAAAGACCAGACATCACATCATTGACAACAAAGCCTTAGTAAAATCACACCTAGAATACACATCCAATTTTGGTCACTACACTATAAAAAAGAAGTTGAGACTCTAGAAAAATTGTAGAGAAGAGCAACAAAGATGATTATAGGACTGGAGGCTAAAACATACAATGGATAGTTGCAGGAACTGGGCATGGCTAGTCTAATGAAGAGAAAGACCAGGGGAGAGAGAATAGCAGTGTTCCAATATTTGAGGGGCTGCCACAGAGAGGAAGGGGCCAACCTATTTTCCAAAGCATCTGAAAACCAGATAAGGAATTTCCACAGATGGAAACCGATCATTGAGAAAGTCAACCCAGAAATAAGGAGAATTTTTCTGACAATAAGAACAATCAACCCATGGAACAGAAGTTGCCTTCAGAGGTTGTGGGAGCTTCATCATCAGAAGCTTTCAAGAAGACACTGGACTGCCATCTGTCAGAAATGATGCAGGGTCTGCTGCTTGGGTGAGGGGGTTTGACTAGGTGACCTACAAAATCCCTTCCAACTTTGTTATTCTGTTCTGTTCTGATGGTACAAGAGTGAGATGCCTTCAAAGAGAGGCACCATGTGAATCACATGTTTCTAGTGGTCCTGCTTAAAACTGCTAATTTATATATCAGATAATTTATGGTAGATGCAGAAAATTCATCTCCAAATTTTGACAATGTGTAGGTTGGTTGCCCACTCTTGAACTGCCACATCTCTGGACCAGTTGGAGAAATGAATCACTTCTTGAATGTCAGTGGTGGGAAGCTTCCAATTTAACAACTGATTCGGTGAGCGCGCACACACCATTGAAAATTGAGCATATAGAAGCTCAGCTGCTTACCTTCCAAATCAGCAGTGATAAGTAAAACAGCTTGGGGTGGGGAATCAGCTGTGTCACACAATTGAGATAAGCTAGAACAGTGTTTCTCAACCTTGGCAACTTGAAGCTGTCTGGACTTCAACTCCCAGAATTCCCCAGCCAGCAAAGGCCAAGGTTGAGAAACACTGAGCTAGAAAGCAGGAAATAAAAGACAAGATAGGGGAGGGGTGTGTGGGCAGGGTCAGCTGATTGTCAGAGCTACTGGTTTCCCCGAACTAGTCCGAACCGGCTGAATACCAATTGTGAATGTGCAACATCAATTTTAGAGAAAAATCATACTTAGAAGGAGATCCATTTCACTTCGAGATATCATAATTGATTGATAGAATGACTATATGAAATAAATGAGAACATAGATAGAATTTTAAAAAAAAACAGGATGTCCGAGGGGAGAAATATGTTGAAAGTTCATATATTCTACGCACGGTTGCAAATCTATATAACCACTGAAGGATACGATTTTATGCGTGCCATAAACATCTCTGTGACTTTTTATTCCCGATGATGGATTAATATTTGACTAATTCAAGTGCACGGGGGGAGGGGGGGTTGAAAATCCACGCATAATTTAATTTCACTCACTTAACATTCTGAACATTTTATTATTGTTCCCAAGGGTGAAGGTTGCAAAACCCACCGTTTGTTTAACGGAGAAATAAAAACAGTAAAAGGAAATTAAGACACCAGGACTTCAAAGTGCTTCCTTCTCCCGGCCAATGCAAATATTTCTATTATATTTACAGTTGGAACAGGAGAAGAATGTTCTTTTGATTGCTCTGAACTCAGCAGCAGGTTACCACGTGGCCTGGTTAAGACAAGATTTTGCATTGGATAGTTCAGGCTAGGACTCATAGAGAGCTGAAGGGGCTGGTTTAAATAGGGTTTATTCAAGGAAATGCTCAGGCATTCAGGGGAAGGATTGAGATGGCTAATCGAGGATCCAGAAGCCTTCTGAAACCCTTAAAAAGTTTACTGCTGGAAAAATGTTGAGTCTCATCAGCTTAACAAATTGTTGAGATGCTTGAAATCGCTAGGAACATTTCCACTGGGATAACGGCAGCGAGTTTATAAAATGTGCTGGATTTCTGCTTAGTTTTTTTTCTTTGTTCTCTTTCTTTTCAATGATATTTCCTCTTGGCTCTTATATAAGCTCTTCTGTTCTTGGAGAGTCACCGATGAAACTGAAGACAAAGGCCCTGAAGTGCTTTTTTATTTTTATTTTTGCAGTAGCTTCCATAGAAATGAGTAGCAAGCTTTATCCTTAGTGCTCTCCGCCTGTTATGGACAAAGGTCTTGATACGGAATCCTAAACGGGTCTCATCATGAAATAGATCTCGGGATCTCTAAAGCTCTTACATCTTGCACAGGAGCATGATGAGGTCTAAGGAGTAGAGGTGGTATTCAGCCAGTTCTGACAGATTCTGGAGAACCGGCAGCGGAAATTTTGAGTAGTTTGGAAAACTGGCAAACAGGCTGGCCCCGCCCNGGGAATAGGGCGGCATGTAAATAAAATAAAACTAAACTAAACTAAATTTCTTAGCCTTTGCTGTAATCAGATCATTTGAGATGTTTGAGCTTGACAAGAATACCTCGAAAAATTTCCATCCGGTTCAGTAAAGACAGGACTCGCCCAGCTTCTTCTGTTATCCTCGTTCTTCTCGATTCTCTTCTTTCTTAAGGGCGCTGGCATGTAAGTTGGTGCCTTGGTTTTGTTGGGCAGGAAGCGGTTGAATTCTGCAGCCGGCTTGGGTTCAATTAAGGCAACTCGGCGATAGGACATGTCGTCTTTCCCGGGGTCATGCATTCTGGCGCGGGTTTCAGAATCGGTGTCACTCTCAAAATCTTTTACATATATATAAGAAAGGAGAAAGCTGCCGTTAAAACTTGAGAAATGGAAACATCTATGGAGATTCTCAGTCCTCCAGGTCATGGTTGTTCCCAAAGGTGCTTTTTTCAAGAGGAAACTGGACTTTCTGGTTTTTTGTTTTTTTTAAGGACATTTTGTTTCTCATTCAAGAAGCTTCTTCTGCTCTCACCTTCTATTCCCTACCATCCAATCAGAGCTGAAGAAGCTTCTTAGATGAGAAGCAAAATGTCTTCAAAGAAAAACCAGAAAGTTCAGTTGTCTCTTGAAAAAGCAGCTTTTTGGGGATAAGAATTAGGAACCCACAAGGTGAAAATAAAATACTCACTGGTTCATTGCTTTCTGTTGGAAACAAACAGCTAAAGGTTATGTGGCCGGCATGGCTAAATGCTGGTAAACAGTGTGTGTGTGTGTGCGCGCATGCGTGCGTGCGTGTGCGCGCACACACACACACACACAGGCACGGACGCACGCACGCACGCACGCACACATACATACATACATACATACATTCACCAGGCTATATATACTCTGTTTCCTCGAAAATAAGACCTCCCCGGATAATAAGCCCAATTGGGCTTTTGAGCGCATGCGCTAAAATAAGCCCTCCACTGAAAATACACAGCAGCAGCCATGAGGTGACCATGCTCGCCGCCTCCTGCACCCCATAAATAATAAGACCTCCCTGAAAAGAAGGCCAAGTGCTTATTCCGGGGGTCAAAAGAAAATAAGACCCTGTCTTATTTTTGGGGAAACACGATGTGTGTGTATGTGTGTATCTGTATGTATCTGTATCTGTATCTCTCTATCATCCATCCATCTATCTATTCTAACACTGAACTAGAACCCAACTTTTTAAATCAATACTTTCAAAGAAAAACCAGAAAGTTCAGTTGTAAAATCAAGGGATTTTGATGGAAAGTAAAGTTGGGTTTGGAAGGGACTGGAAAAAAACTCTCCCACAGAGTGAATGAGTGAGTGAGTGTGAAAAGGAAATTAGCTGGAGTGGAACTGAAGCATTGGAATTTTGATGTAAGTATTTTTAGAGTTCTGAATGATGAAATATATTAAGTAAAGCTGAAACGAATGCTATAATTTTTACGTCCAAGTAAAGGAACGAAGAGTTCTAAATAGTGTGAGAAGAATCACAGGGTGATAAGGCTGCAGGCGTAAAGAAAAAAAAGAACTTCAAACAGGGGGTGTTTGTAAAGGGATTGTAAGGCTTTTTTAGCAAGTGCATCCACACTAGGGTATTTTTTTTTTAATGATGTTTTAATTCTCTTGTATTTTTATTGCATTCATTACTGTATATCTAATGCAATGCTTTAATGTATGCGTTACCAATTATTTTAAGCCACTGTTAGAAGCTAACAGCTTGAAGTTTATTGTAAATTGCTTTGATATATTTTTTTTTAAGAAAATGAGAAGCAATTTGTAAATGTTTTAAATAAATAACAGGATGCATTTTTTTTTAATCAGTTGCTCATCATTAAATCTTCTGTGCCTTCAGGCAGCCTAACAAAGAATCTAAAGGACAATCTGCGAAAAAATATCACATTAAAAACGAAAGCAACAATGGAGCCAAACAACGCTGGGCTTGTTTCCAAGGTCTGTCTTCTCAAATAAAAAGGATTAACCCAAAGCCCAGGAATCACCTTCACTGCCGCCTTTTAGAGTGAGATCCGAAGAGAAGCTGGTAGAAGATCTGGAGCCAAAAGAATCCAAGCTGTCTAAGGAATCGTCCCGCTTGTGGCTAGTGGACAATGAAAGAGGATCAATGCGTTCAGTGCACCAAAAATCCCCGTATCCGCTGTCCCTTCCACTTTGTTTGGGGCTGTAGGATTCCCCGAGGGCCTGTAGGAGAAAATAGCACAAAAGAGGAGTTGACATTCAGCAGGTAGACTGCAGGATTGAGAGACCAAAGCTTCTGCTCATTGCCGCTGCCCCAGATGGCAGAATATAGAATAACAGAGTTGGAAGGGACCTTGGAGGTCTTCTAGCCCAAACCCATGTTTAGCAGGGATGGGTTCTGGCTGGCTTTACTGCCGGTTTGCTCATATGCGCACTTTGCACATATGCACAATTCAATTAACGGGTGAGTTGACTGCGTTGAGTTATCCTAGACCCTTGGGATGTTTCCCTTGGGAATTCAGAGTGAGAAGTCACCAGAAAAGATGGCGGAAACTAATCAAGGAGAGAAGCAACTTAGAACTAAGGAGAAGTTTCCTCACGTTTAGGAACAAATTGCCTCCAGAAATTGTAAATGCTCCAACATTGGAAGTTTTTAAGAAGAGATTGGATAACCATTTGTCTGAAATGGTATAGGGTTTCCTGCCTAAGAAGCGGATTGGACTAGAAGACCTCCAAGGTCCCTTCCAACTTTGTTAATCTATTGTATTCCCTTCCCTCCCCTCTCCATTCCATTCCATTCTTCTATTCTATTCTATTCCCTTGTCTTGTTCTTGTCCTCTCTTCTCCATTCTCTATTCTATTCTATTCCCCTCCCCTCTCCATTCGATTTCATTCCATTCTTCTATTCTATTCTATTCCCCTCCCTTCTCCATTCCATTCCATTTCATTCCATTCTTCTATTCTATTCTATTCCCTTCCCTTGTCTTGTCCTCTCCTCTACATTCTCTATTCTATTCTATTCCCCTCCCCTCTCCATTCCATTCCATTCTTCTATTCTATTCTATTCTATTCTATTCTATTCTATTCTATTCTATTCTATTCTATTCTATTCCCTTGTCTTGTCTTGTCTTGTCTTG